GGTTAAAGGGAGTTGGATCCCACATGGCCACAGTGGCTTGGAAAGCATGCCATGTGCATGTGTACCCCAAGTCTCAACAGGTTTCCAAGACCACACACAGCATGATCATACACTTTCGAGGACTGTTCTGTCTCTGGCAAGTGCATGCACCCTTTGGCAATTTAAAAAGAAAAAGGAAAAAGAATATTTTCTTCAGGTCAAATATGTTCAAATGACATCTTGCATTTGTGCTTGAGAGAGGATTACCAGCACGTGTTTAAATACACACCTCACTGGGTGGGCTCCATTTTCTTCACCTCATACTTGAGAAGATTTCATGGGAGGGAGGAGAATTGTCTTCATGCACATCCAACCTCCTGATCATGTGGCAGGACTTTTGTGTTAACTAGACTGTTTTTGTTCCAAAGGCTGGGCCTGGGGTCCTCCTGAATCTAGAGGCCCAGTCCTCTGAGGATCGTCACAGGAAGCACCATTACTGTAGTCCCCAGGGCAGGTCCCACTCTGAGGTTAGGCTACTGGTCGGCTTGCCCCTCCAGGCAGCAGCTCTGTGGGATGGGCAACCCTGGGGTGGGGACTCCTGCCCCATCTTAGCAGTCTGTGCCTTGGCTTCTTTTGTAATGAAAGAATGTTAGCAATCACTGCCATTTCTAAACTCCAAGGGGGCACTCTGAGAATTTTTGTTTGTTTTAGTTTATATATTTCTACCATGAGCAAGAAAGACAGCACCCCTAACAGGGTACTGATCCTGCAATCCACACCCAGCCCATCCCATATCATGTATGTGTTCCCAGTATGTTCAGGGAATTCTTCAGATGTGAACCCAGACCTTCCCATGTCGGTCAGCCCACAGAGCCTTGAGTTGTGACCCAGAGTTTTGCATCCGTTATCTGGTCACAGTTCTGCAGGACAGCTAGAGTGGTGTTTATTTTGCAAAGTGGTGAAAGAGCACCTTGTAGCCATTAATTGGCCAGTGTTAGTTCTAAAATTAAACAATGCAGTGTGATCAGAACTTAAGCAGTGCAGTTCTGTCTCAGGTGGATAGCCTGGCTCTGACCCTTGTCTCTCCTCCCCCTGCAGACCTGGGCACCACAGATTTCCAGAAGAAGAAGCTTGTGGATGCCATCATATCTGGGGACACCAGCAAGCTGATGAAGATCTTGCAGCCCCAGGACGTGGACGTGGTCCTGGACGGCAACGCCAGCCTGCTGCACCTGGCTGTGGAGGCTGGCCAGGAGGAGTGCGTCAAGTGGCTTCTACTCAACAACGCCAACCCCAACCTGACCAACCGGAAGGGCTCGACTCCACTCCATTTGGCTGTGGAGAAGAAGGTCCGGGGTGTTGTGGAGCTCCTGTTGACCCGCAAGATCAGCGTCAACGCCAAGGATGAAGACCAGTGGACAGCTCTCCACTTTGCAGCCCAAAACGGGGACGAGTCCAGCACACGGCTGCTGCTGGAGAAGAACGCTTCCATCAACGAGGTGGACTTTGAGGGCCGGACGCCCATGCACGTAGCCTGTCAGCATGGGCAGGAGAACATCGTGCGCATCCTGCTGCGCCGGGGCGTCGATGTGGGCCTGCAGGGGAAGGATGCCTGGGTGCCACTGCACTACGCTGCCTGGCAGGGCCACCTGGCCATTGTCAAGCTGCTGGCCAAGCAACCAGGAGTGAGTGTGAATGCCCAGACCCTGGATGGCAGGACGCCCCTGCACCTGGCTGCCCAGCGAGGGCACTACCGTGTGGCCCGCATACTTATTGACCTGTGCTCTGACGTCAACATCTGCAGCCTGCTCGCACAGACGCCCCTGCACGTTGCCGCTGAGACTGGGCACACGAGCACTGCCAGGCTGCTCCTGCATCGGGGTGCTGGCAAGGAGGCGGTGACTGCAGAGGGCTGTACCGCCCTGCACCTGGCTGCCCGCAACGGACACCTGGCAACTGTCAGACTGCTCATTGAGGAGAAGGCTGACCTGCTGGCCCGGGGGCCCCAGCACCAAACTGCCCTGCACCTGGCTGCTGCCCGTGGGCACTCAGAGGTGGTGGAGGAGCTGGTCAGTGCTGACATCATTGACCTGTCTGATGAGCAGGGCCTCAGCGCACTGCACTTGGCCGCGCAGGGCAGGCATGCGCACACGGTGGAGACACTACTCAAGCATGGGGCCCACATCAGCCTGCAGAGCCTCAAGTTCCAGGGTGGCCAGGGTGGGGGTGCCACAGCCACACTGCTCCGGCGAAGCAAGACCTAGCCTGCTGCATGCAGAGACCAGGGATGCATGTGGGGTGCTGTTGTGTCATGTTTCATGTGGGGACACAGTGATACAGTGGCAGCCCCGCTCCCTGGTGGTTTGCTTGCTAAAACATTGATGGAGTGTAAACCATCTGGTGAGGCAGTGTGGCTGTTGCCAGTGGGCTTATTGCCTTCCATGTGAAATTGGCTAGAAGGTACCCGGTTGTTAACCTAGTCCCACATTGGCACCTGGTATCAGAAGGGACGATGGGTCAGAATCGTTTCACAGTGTTCCCAATGGGTTGCTGACGCTGGTCCCTTGGTGACCAAGCCTTGGGTCAGGATGAGCCTGTTCTGATGAGCCGAGCACCTCTGCTTGCTCAGAATACATAGTCCAAGGGACGAGGTGCAAGAAGAACCACTTGCCTTTTGTCTTCCCAGCATGGGCTAGGAACCTGCCGTAGAAAGTTTCCATGGATTTCTTGTAAGATACCTTCTCCAACAGATGCATATCACGTCAAATCTCACTTGAGACTTATTGGTGACATTGGATCATCTAACCGGAGGATACACGGGTTGACCGTGATGTCATAGGTTAGCTTGGAAGGCAAAAGATGTTTCACTCGAGAAACCACAGCTGCAGCTGGCACTGCTGGTATGTGTGTGTGTGGCTACTTTGTGTCCTGGCTTGTCCTTCAGGTAGTCCCCATTGTGCCACACTACCCTAGTCATGCAAGTTGCTGCTGTTCATTTCTTGCATGAAACATTTTTGGAACTCTAGAGCCAGAGACCTAGTGTAAAAGTCATTTTATAATCTTCATCACTTCCGTTCTGGACTGGAAACAGTATTATAGTGAAATGAACCACTCATCTGTTTCTTCCAAGGGCTTGCATTTGGTAGATGTGGTTCATGTGGTAGGATACTGTTTTGGGCCTCAGGGGTTTTCCAACTTGCTTTCCAAGTGGCCACACCTTGTTGGCACCTCAGCAGCTTGGCCTGTACCCCAAAGGTGGCTCTAGGAGATGGCCATACCCCTGGATGGAGAAGACTTGACCACCTTGCTTCATTAATTCATAAGTTGCCACATGCGTCCCATGTGGTGCCTTCCAAAGACTGTTGAGTAAGTTTGTTGCAGACTGTGACCCTGTGTGCAAACATGTACCGTGGCCTGGTGTATGATACAGGGATTGACATTAATGTACCATGTATGTTAATGTGAATCTGTGGGCAGGATACTTCTTTTCTATGACAGGAAATATCCACGCTGTTTAGAACTGGCTATGTTTTAATATGCCTCATATGCTTTTACTGTGTGATGCTACCATTAAGTTGAATTGTTGAAGACAGACTTCTGCTGGATGTCAATAAAGCAAAGCACTTGTCTACTTTTTGAAGTCAGTGAGACTGCTTTTTCTTACAAACGAGCTCAAACGTGATTTCTGAAACCCAGAGGTGGGAGGCAGTGACGTATGGTTTGGACATGTCCTTCCTGAAGGCTTCTACACCCTGAGTTAACCTGCAACATGGGGGACAGATGAAGCAGAGGGTGGACTTGGGTGTCCTGCTTATTGGTTGTGGCAACTGTCAGACTGCTCAGGACAGAGAACTGCTGACATGACAGGCCCTCCCACGTGTGCTTTAGTGAGAGATAATCCTGTTTTCATGGACAGAGCTCCCAGCCACTACTTTTTTTTTTTTTAAACATTTATTTGATTTCTTTCATGTAAAAGCATGTGAGGAAGGAACGCTTGACAGACTGTGGTCTTACCACAATCCATTTCTCCCAACCCTCTAGACAGTGGGGCTCCCAGGTGTGCACGCACCTGGCGTGGTTCAGGTCAACTCTAGGTCTGAGCCGAAGCTGACTGTGTGATCCCAGCACTGCAGAGCAGCACTCTGCCGCCTGCACCACCACAGCTGGGGCCTGCACCACCACAGCTGGGCCCACTGCTGGCTTTTATTTCTTTTGTAAGTGTTTATAACTCTTGGATTCATCTGCTAATTTTGTAACAGAAGCTATAAGAATAGTATGAGAACTCTGGTGTGCCCTTCGTCAGATTCTCCACTTGCTTATATTTTGTCTCATTTGTCTCCTTCCTTATCTTCCTTATGTATCCACTTACCCACCGTCATCCATCCGTCTGAGAGGAGGGGCGAGGCCGTGCCCACTGCCCCCAGATAGTCAGCACGTACTTCCTGTATAGCCACAGTCCACCCACTCAAGTCAGGATGTGCTGCGTCCTACCCACAAGTCCTTCTCCATTTCTGCTTTTGTCTCAAAAGGAAAGAATGAAAGCCCAACAGCACCAAGCATCTCCTTCCCCTCTCCGATCTGGTGTCCCATTTTATTTGGTCCTCACACTCCAGTCCTCAATTCTCCATTCCTTAGTCTTTTCCTGCTTTCTGTGACACTGACTTTGGAAGTACCGCCAGCTATTTTGGAGAACATCGTTTCTCTAATGTTCCTTAGGATTCCATTTAGGTGATGTGTTTTGGGCAGAAATACCACACATGATACTGGATATAAGGCAGAGGTCTTCCCTGTCTTTAATTTATGTTAGTATGGAATCAGGGGTTCCTGTTAGCGGGTCGTCGCCCACTATGGCCACTTCTTCTGATGCCTTTGTCCCTTCGGCATGTCTCTGAGCACTTCCTTGCCGTCTGACACAGTGAGGTGCCCAGGTCCATGCTGTAACCCCCCACCCCTGCCGCAGGGGGCACACACATACTTTTCCACATATTACTAGAAACTAGTTTCACACCAATGTCTCTGTTACGATCCAAACCCCAGGGGTTACTCTGGCGCACCCTCGTTTAGCAGTTCCCGTTACCGATGGGCAATATGTTCCCGATCCCCAGTGGATATCTGAAACTGCGGGCAGTCCCACACCCACGGTATATGATGATGCTTCTACACATGCATACCTGTGAGAAAGTTTATTAATTAGGCGCAGTAAGATTACTAATAAGAGAACAGTTAACGTGATGAAAGAAAAGGTTATGTGATGAGGTCTCCCGAAGTACTATTCCTAGGTGATGAAAGCACGAAGATCCACTGTCGTGTGAGGTCAGGAGTTCAGCATCCTTAGAGCCGGGGCTGCAGCTCCTGTTGCATCTGTTTGCTGAGGTTGGGTTCAGGGGCACGTTACTGCTGAGTGAGGAGAGGCACCCATGGGCAGGCCGTTCCCCCAGGTGGTGCCATCACTCCTGTAGGCCCCACTAGCTGAGAAAAAGTTACTCCTGCCTCTAACGCCCGTGTCAAAAATGAGCATATCCTGGGAACCAGCAGTTAGCGTAATGGCTGTCGCTGGACTCCCACATAGTCGACCACAGTTCGCGTCCCAGACCCGGTGGCTTAAAACTCACACCGGGCACATGTGCGTGCGTGCCCAAGAGGAGAATGGAGGAGAAGGGATTGTGGCGTGACCATCCCCCCTGGGGGGTGATTTCTCGCTTTCTGTCTCTATGTCTCTCTCTGTCTGTCTGGTGAGCGCACATGCCCTATAGTGAAAAC